AGTCCATTGGGTAGCTGGAGCGATGCGGTGAGCCTCACCACTGGTTTGGGTGGGAGGGGGTCTGTGGGCTGCAAACTCTCTGGGGACTGCTTCAGTGACACGTCTGGCTGGGCCCCAGTGCCTCTCTCTCCAGCCAGACTCCGTCGTTTCCCTGCTGTGGTTCCCCTTGCTGAGTTGCTGCAGTCACCATTGCTGAGCCTGCAGTGTGCTTGTGGAGCCTCTGGGGACACTCTTTCGCCATGTGCTGCGGATTTTCACAGATGTAACACTTCCTGTTCCCTCTAGGAGGCTTCGCTTTGACTGCTCCCGGTGCTGTGGCTCTGGTTGCTGACTGAGCCCTGGCACCGCCCACCTCCATCGGTTCCGCTCCCCCTCCTGGCGGAGGCGTGGATTGCGCACGCGCAGCTTCCCTGGGAACGAAGGGAAACCCTCTCGCTGGTTCGCGCCCTCCACGTCCTTCGTCCCTGCCCCATGGGCGTTCCTCCAGCCGCACTCCCACTGCCAGCGCCCTCTGCACGACCTCCTGCGTGGTCCGGGGTCTCTCCCCCCTGGCAATTTCGTCTTTAACGGGGCCGCTCAAGCCTTCCCAAAAGAGATCTCTGACTGGAGCGGAATCTCTGTCCCATTCCAAGGCACTGACTAAAGCAAAAAAGCGGGCTTGGTACTGTCTTACGCTGGCCCTCCCTTGCTTCAGCCCATGCACCTCCCTCCGGGCAAGATCCACGTCAATGCTGGACAAAAAACAGCCATCCATCGCTTTAATAAAGGCATCCGCGGTTTGGAGCGCTGGATCCTTATCTCTCCACAAATTGCGCAGCCATGCTTTAGCCTCTCCATGCAAATGGGACATGATAAATCCCACCTTCTCTTGCTCATCTCTAAAGTCTTTGTCCAGCAGTTGCAGTGCACACTGTACATCTGCTTTAAAGTTGGGGTACAGTTGTAAATTCCCATCGAAGTGAGAGACTAGACCGCCTGTTCTTCGCCCCAACCCAATCCCCTCCGGTTTGGGTGTCAGTTGCCTTTGCTTCGTAAGCACTTCCAACCTGACCTGGAGATCCCTGTAGGCGGCAGCTGCGTCCTCCTCTCTCTTCCTGGATGCAAGAGCCTCGGCATTCAGTCGTGTCACTGCTTCTCTCAGTTCCGCTATCTGCTGTTCGGCCGTCATGTTGTCTGCCGTTCGTGAGCTCGCTAGTAGGCACCCGCTTTCTCTCCTCTCCGCGAGGCCGTAGATGCCCACAATTTGGAGACGGAGCTTACTGTCAGAGCTGCTTCAAGATCCTAGCTCACAGAGGATCACGCTAGCCAGCGATCATTAAATAAAAGTCTTTATTGAGTTACAGTTTCCATTCTCAAGCTGCTGCGTGCAACTCTACGTCTTATGGCTAGACCGGCGAAGCTCCGTCTGAATCTCCGCCCCCTGTACACCAACTTAATACCCTGGCTTTACTCCACCTTTTCCGCCTGACTGTTCTTCTCTGGGTCCCTCTGCCCCCCGGGGTCTCTTCCTTCCGGGATTCTTCTGACGCTGACCCCCCGGACCCTTCTGTCTCCTTGCGCCGGGCTTTAGGACCTGGCTCCCTTTCCGGGCTGCTCACTGCGCCACCTTCCTGTGCATTTGAACTTGGCGCGCGCGCCCAACCTCCCACTTTCCGTCTGACCGTTTCTTCGCTCCCCGATGGAGGTGTGGCCACTCCTGACTCGTGCCCTCCCTCCTGTTGTGAGCTTCCAGCGCTTGATACCTGGCGCCCTTCCTCTCCCCTGCTCTCTGTGGGTGACGCTGGTCCCGGTTTCCCACTGCTCCCCTCTGAGCCCCCTCTGGCCCTTTCTTCCTGGGGTGTCCCCCTAGGCTCCCCCCTTGCCCTGGCCACTGGTGCTCCTTTCTGTGAATCTTCTGATTCACTGGAAAGACTCGGAGATCTCGGGTCGTCGTCATCACTCATCTTTTCTTCTGCCTCCTCCCCCTCACTCTCTGTTTCCTCCCTTGCCCTTGCCTCTGCTCCTGAACCCCTGACAGAAACGCTCCTGCGGAGGCGAGAGGCAGCGAGGAGGCGACGAGGTGAGGCTTTTGTGAGGTAGGGAGAGGAAAGACGGGGGAGGGAACCCAAGGAGGATTTGCACGAGAGGGAATGAAGGGGAAACGCGCCTCCCACGTGGAGCACTTTTCCCCGGGAAATGCACGGGGTGGGGTCGTGGCTGATCCGTGCTGCGCGCTCGCGTCGTGCGGCCCAAAGTGCTGCAGGATCGCCAATGCAAGACCCCCTTTTAAAACCTCCCCCTCCCCCAGCTCTGGAAAAAAAGGGGGAAGGGGATGGCGTCGGCGTGCGGAGGCTGCCCGTGCCCGGCCAGGCGTCGGTGGCGGTGTCAGCGCTGCTGCAGTGGCTGCTCCTCCTGCGAGCAGTGAGTGGAGCACAGCCGCAGCAGCGGCGGGGGGCGCGCGCGCGCTAGGGCGCAAGGCTGGCGGTGGCGGCGGGGAGCCCAGCGGAGGAAGGAACTTGTCCCTTCCCTCTGGACTCGCGCCCCCCGCAGATGTTGCGCCCAGTGCGACTGGCACCCCTGGCACCCCCCACGCTACGCCACTACTCCCATGGCACACTAGGCAACGTCCGGCGGCACACTAGTGTGCCGCGGAACACCGGTTGGGAAACACTGTGCTAACCAACAGAACTTTAAGAGCAAAAGTAAACATATTGCTATAAGATACGGGAATGTGAAAAATGCTTTGGAAAGAAATGTGTTAAAGGTACAGCACTGTAACACAAAATGTAATGTGGCGGATTTGTATACAAAATGTTTGGATGCTCCTAAATTTCGAGACTTAAGAGAATTATTAGGTCTCAAGCCTTTGACTTAAGGAGGAGTGTTGGGATTTGCAGGATGATAAGTAAGTCTGCAGGCTTCAACAGGCTGATGCAATACTCTGTGAAGTGCTGGGTCAGAGTGACTCAGCAGGAATGTGATTGGCTATCACCTGTTTTAAAAGGAAAGCCTGTTCAACAGTAATTGTGGTGGTTGTGGTGTGGTTGTGCTGTGATGTGGTGGTGCTGTGGTGGAGAGTATTTGTTTGCCTTAAGGTGCAGATACTCTGTATGAACTGCTTTTGTAAATACTTGTATATAGCTCACATTAAAAAGACTGCACTAAAAAAGAAACCTGGGACTATGAGCATTTCGCTAAAAGTGCCGCGAGGAATTCGCGACACCCCCTCCTCTCTGTCAATCGATTCATATGCACATATCTTTTTTTGGGGGGATGGCCTGATCTATATTTTGTACCTGGGAAAATACAAGACTTCTCCCAGGAATTGTCCTTGTTGCCATCATTAATTGGAATGTGGAATGTACATGCATCGCACAAACATTTCCAGCACTTACATATATTTCAGACCTATCACTCAAAGTGCTTTTGAACCCCTATCCCACTGTTGGTGTGCATGTGAGAAAGACAGAAATATCATTTTATAGGAACTTTGTAAGAATTAAGGTCCATAAGGTCCATTTTTCTCATTGGGAAAAGATGACATTACTGTCACATTTTAGCCTTCATGTTGTTGTTTTTGTGTATGTGTGTCTCCTATAAATTGTGGTGCCATATCTGAAGCACATTTTTGTCAGTCACCCACATTGAATTACATGCATTTGGGAATGGCTATTTTTGCTGTTTGACCTCTCTCCTTACCTATAAAGGGGCAGCCTGTGGTTCATAGAGGAACATATGACTGCAATCTATCGTGCCATATAACCTGTAGCCTATAATGAGAAGGAATCCTTGACTTGCAAACTATCATTTGAACCTGATAATACTTGAAATCACATTGGGTGGGGTTAATCATATTGTCAATTTCTCTTTCTGTATGAGCATGGACCAAAACGCTGAAAAGATGGGAACCAGAGTTCTGTAGTCCTTCCACAGCCTAAGGACTTATCCACACCCTCCTTTTGTCCCACTGCTTTCCTCTGGGGAAAACTGTGCTTTAGTGCTCAATTGGAACAAAAGGCAATTCAGATTTTCTCTGGATTGATGTTTGCTCTGAATTAGCACTAAAGAGTGGGTTTTCCAAGGGAAATGAGGAGGACAATAGGAAAAACACTCAGACCTTATCTAGAAAGCTTGGGTCATGTGGGAAACCATTCAGACTCCTTGCTTTCTAGGCAGGAGTGCCAACTTGACCACATGACTGTAGGTGCCTGGGGCCGTGGGTGTCATGCAGCGTATATGGCCCTGGCAACAAAATTTGTGGGTGCCCGGCCTCTTCATGGGGAATTTTGTGCTCAGGCACCCAGAGAACCAGCACCTATGTTTCTAGGAGTGGGACAAGTGGAAGTGTGGATGATCCCTACGACTGCAAAAAAAAACACCCTAGAACAGTGGCTCCCAATTAGGGGCTTGGGGACCCCTGGGAGTCCGCAGAACACACCCAGGGGGTCTGCCGCACCCTGCCAGGGACTCACTTATCTTGTTAATTGCACAGTGAAAGTCACAATGATGATCCACAGATCACCCAGCCTCTGCTCATGAGCAGGGCCTGCTTGGTGGCAGGGGGAAAACATGTAAAAGATTTGCTGGGTGGCAAGTTAGCAGGGATTGGGCAAAAACCTCAGACACAGTTTCATTGGGCTCTTGTGATTGGAGGGGAGAGTGTGTGTGTGCAAACGGCTTGCTCCATGTGGCAGGTTCACATGCTTGTCATTTAAAAAATAATAAAGTAAGGTAGCCCTTCCCCTTGCTCTCTGCTTTTTAACTGAAAATAACTTCTAATTGCTTTCAACGACTATCAAGCTTAGAGGACTCTCCCACTGCTTGTAGGTAGGGTTTTCAGTGAATTTTGCCTTATGACTTTGGGATTCAGGTCTCATTCAGGTATGCAAAAATATACGGATCCAACATGAAATAGTTTATTTAAAGAGCCAGGACAGAAGGCTACACTAGAAGAAAGGAAGGAAAGAAGCATTGGAATATACAAAAACTTCATGATAATCTTCCATCAAAAACAGATATATTTATTCTGGTGGATTCTTCCCAATCAATCTGTACACAGCCCCCTTTACATCTTTGTTTCTCAAACTGTAAATCATGGGATTTAGCATAGGGGTCAGTGCCCCATACAGTACAGAGATCAGCTTGTCCCGATCAGAAGAGGGTCTACCATGTGGCTGAAGATACATGGACATGGCTGAGCCATAGAATATACTGACCACAATCAAGTGGGAGCCACAGGTGGAGAACGCTTTGCTTCGACCTTGTGCTGATCGGATTTTCAGCACTGCCTGGCCAATGCGAATGTAAGTCACCATGATGAAAAGAAAGGGAACAACAAGAACTGGAATAGCCCGAGCAATTGAGAAGATCTCATTGATGCGGGCATTGGAACAGCCCAATTTAAGGACTGCCTGGGCTTCACAAGAAAAATGATTGATGATATTAGGGCCACAAAAGCTTACTGGTATGAAAAATACAGGGACCACAGCCAGCAGAAAAGCAATAATCCAGGATGAGGCTACTAAACTGATACAGAGCCTACTGTTCATGATTAAGGTGTAATGAAGGGGATGACACACAGCAGCAAAACGGTCATATGCCATGACAGCCAGAAGAAAGCACTCAGTCATCCCAAGGAAGAGTCCACAGTACATTTGGGTCAAACAATTTGTAACAGGAATGGTAGCTCTAGCAATGAAGCAATTGACTAAAATCTGTGGTACACTGCTGGAGATGTAGAAAATATCTATTGAAGAGAGATTGCTGAGGAAGAAGTACATAGGAGTGTGGAGGTGTGAGTCAGCAATAATTACCACCACCATCAGACCATTGCCAAAGAGGGTAATGAAATAGACAACCAGAAGTAGGCAGAAGAGGACCTTCTGAGCTCTGGGGTGATCCGAGAGTCCTATCAAAATGAATTCGGTTACCATTGTATCATTTTCCTCTCTCATAGTCTTCTAGAGCTATTATCTGTGAGGCAGAAATAGATATGATATGCCTATAGGCTAGAATGAGGCAGATCAGAAACCAAAAAAATGAGTGCGCAACCATATCATAAATCAAATACACTCCTGATAGCTAACTCAGCTAGTAGGTTCCAACATGATTGTAGGCAAAATGGACAAAACAAAGGTTTCCCCCACAGAATTGAAAGCTTCACCTACATTATCTACTTCAAGGGTGGAGAACTTGTTCCTTCCAAATGCTGTTGGACTCTAAATTTCATTAAGCCCAGCCAGTTCTTTTCTTCTAGAATAAAAGGTGTGAGTATGCATTCCCTTGAGTACCCCCAGAGAAAAAGCACTGGGCCTGACCCATATGGCCAATGGTCAGGGATGATGGGAATTGGAGTCCAGCAACATCTGGAGGATCACACCCTCATCATCCCTGATGTAGTTGTATCCTTGCAACTATCCTGTAAACATAGGAGCCAACTCCTAGGGGCTGAGATCCCTTCATCCCCCAAATAAAATATCTGAAAGGGCCACCCTTCATGGTGTGCATGCATGACATTTTGTGTTCAGTTATGTGGGGTGGGGCTTACCTGCCCCCTGCACAATATTTTATTCAAGTTGGCACCCCGCCTGGAAAATATTACTCCCCATATTGCAGAGATCATATGGCTTTCCTAAGTTCATGGTGGAGCTGAGATTCAAACTAGGCACTGGTGTATCTCATTCTTAGTCATTGTGTTACACCAGATCTCAAAAATAATTTTCATGAGACAGATTTTGCACTTTCACAGTGCACCTCTTTTCATATGCTGTATATAACACCCAGTGATGACCAAAAAGTTAGCATTGGGAATTAACTATGGTACCATGTCATGTTGACTTTCATTGAGACCCTGACCTGGTTTGCAGGGGTTTGGGCGAAATATACTGCTCATCCCTGGACTGCTGCATGGAAAATCTAGTGCCCCCATCTGCTGATGCAGAAGTTGGCCATCTGCAGACTGCAGTTTAGCCTATTACACAGAGGGAATAATCAGGGCTCTTAATTCAAAAGCTGTAGTTGGAAACCTTCAAAGTTTATAACTGAAGGATTTTGCCCCCACCCTGTTATCTCTCACACTACCATGTCATTCAACATGTGGTGGGGAATCTGGATCTGATCTCATAGCCCATTCATGTTAAACTTGCATTTTGAGATCTGTAGGATTTAAAGACCAGAATTTTTTAAAAAATGAACCTCCTGCCTCAAAATACTTGCAGTGGTAATTTCAGAGAGACAGTGGTGAGTACCAAGAGGCTAAGATATCCTAGCAGTGCTATAAGATGAAAACTGGGATTTACCAAGACTTGACAAATGTTTTCTCCCCCTGTTTAAAGCTCCCAGTGTAGGAGGGCCTCACTCTATTCTCATGGTTTTTGTTTTTTCATTAAAAAAAAAAGACTTACATGGAAGTAACGTGGGGTTAAGCTGTCTGTTATGGACTTGAGTGTCAACATGGATCTAATTTAAAAGTCTTTTTGAAATCACTCATCTGTCCCCAATAAGATCAAAGAAGTTAATATAATGAACACTGGAGAAGAGGATAGCAAACAAATGTGTTACCTCAATTAATGAATATTGTTCTTCCATATTGTTCCATTTTTTATATTAGAGCCTTCCATCTGTACCACTGCAGAGCTTGCATATATAGGAATATCACACAGTAGAGGTTCTATCTTCTAAAGCAGTCTCAATCCCTCTCGAGCCATTACCTCTACAGTGATAGGTCCCTTTGGTGTGAGAGCAGCAAATTTGCTATTGCTTCACTCTAGGGATTCCTCCACTTTGGATCAGGATCACTGATGCACTGCATCCTAACATCCTTATAAATCCTTAAAAATAAGTACCTAGAAGAACAAAAGAGAGCACCATCCCACCTTTTTTCTCTAAGGAGCTTGAGGTGGCACACATGGTTCTCTGCCTCCTCCTTTGATCCTCACAACAACCCTGTAAATATTTTGCTTGCCATCAGCTTTCATGATTACAACTCCCCACACTGTTACATTTATGCTCTTGTGTTATCATTTAGCATTCCATGAGTCATAGTATTTTGTTAAATAAAAAAAAAATCACCTATACACTCCAAAACAAAATAGTATTTTCTTCAGTTTTTATTTGACTTCCCCTCCCGTTTTCCACAATGTTATGTCCTGAAGTTCTCACCCTGGGCCAGCAGGGGGATACTGTAGATAGTTCAGGTCCACATATGCAAATAAGGGATCGAAAGTGACGTTCAGTGATTGGATAAAACAAAAAAAATTCCTTCCAGTAGCACCTTAAAGACCAACTAAGTTAGTTCTTGGTATGAGCTTTTGTGTGCATGCCCACTTCTTCAGATACACTGAAACAGAAGTTGCCAGATCCTTCTATATAGTGAGAAGGTGGGGAGGGGTATTACTCAGAAGGGTGGTGGGAATGGGTGATTGGCAGATAGCTGTGATGAGCCTGTTGACGACTCTTAACGACTGCAATAGGTCTTACAGGAAAAAGCAAGGGGTGAGAAGGTGAAAAATGGCTTTGTCATGTATAATGAGATAAGAATCCAATGTCTTTGTTCAGACCAGGTCTCTCCATGGTTTTAAGTTTGGTAATGAGTTGCAATTCAGCAGCTTCTCTTTCCAGTCTATTTCTGAAATTCCTTTGTAGTAAAACAGCTACTTTGAGATCTTGTATAGAATGTCCTGGGAGATTGAAGTGTTCTCCTACTGGTTTCTCTGTCTTGTGATTCTTGATGTCAGATTTATGTCCGTTTATTCTTTGGCGTAAGGTTTGGCCTGTTTGTCCAATATAGAGAGCTGAAGGACACTGTTGGCATTTGATGGCATACACAATGTTAGACGATGAGCAATTAAATAGTCCCGAGATGGTATGTGTGATGTTGTTGGGGCCAGTAATGGTGTTGTCCGGGTGTATGTGGCAGCAAAGTTGGCATCTGGGTTTATTGCAGGCTCTGGTGCCAGTGTCCATGTTAAGTCTGGTTGTAGTATTATTGTGGGTTAGGAGTTGTTTAAGATTGGGTGGCTGTCTGTAGGCAATGAAAGGTCTTCCTCCCAGAGCTTGAGAAAGAGAACTGTCATTGTCCAGGAGAGGTTGTAGATCTCTGATGATGCGTTGTACTGTTTTAACTTGGGAGCTGTATGTGATGACTAATAAACGGACATAAATCTGACATCAAGAATCACAAGACAGAGAAACCAGTAGGAGAACACTTCAATCTCCCAGGACATTCTATACAAGATCTCAAAGTAGCTGTTTTACTACAAAGGAATTTACTACAAAGGAACCTGACAAAGGGGCAATACAAGCGGACTCTCTGTGCCCTTACCACAGTAAAAAGACTGATACTGGTGAGCTGGAAAAATAAAAATGCGTCTCCCTTCTATGATTGGATTGAAGACTTCTACAAACTCACCACATATGAACAACCTGCAGATAAACGCAGACTTGCCATGGACAAATTCAATGATACAGGGGTACCTTGGGTTAACATACACTTCAGGTTACAGACTCTGCTTGTAGCCTTTTTAGCCTCGGGTGAGAAGAGCTTTGCGCCCGGGACGGGGAAATGGGAGTCAACAGACACTCAAGGAATAGTTTCAGAGAAAAGCTTTATTCTGCCATCCGGGGTGGCAGAAGGAGCAAGTGTGATAGATTCACAAAACAAGCATGAGTTCACAGCCATTTGCGCAGAGCATATATTCCCCTTCCAGTTCCCTCCCCTTTCTCCTCCTCCTCAAGAGTCCTGCCTCATTGTGATGAAATTCCAGTGCCTGTCTTCGGAGAACTTCCTGACATTAGTGAGGAAGATGCCTCCAGTGCTGAAGGACATGAAGAAGAAGTGGTTCTTGAAGATGATGCTCCACATCCATTTTCCCAAAAGGAGTTGAATGATCTAGTTCGCGACCTCAGCTTGTCAAAGGACAAAATTGGTTATGGTCAGCATAAGTGGTTTATTTGTGTAGACCTGAAGATGGTGAACTTTTTGGTGGGACAACAGTCTGGCTTCAACAAGTACCCATGTTTTCTGTGCATGTGGGATAGTAGGGACCGTGCTCAGCATTACACGAAGAAGGACTGGCCTGTGCGGGAGGAATTGGTGCCTTGCAAAGAAAGGAACGTCATCAACGACCCTCTGGTGGACAGAGACAGAATACTCTTCCCACCGCTGCACATCAAGCTCGGCTTAATCAAGCAGTTCACCAAAGGCTCTGGACAAGGATGGTGACTGCTTCACTTGTGCCAGGATTGACCATGGAGAAGTTGAAAGCTGGCATCTTTGACGGTCCTCAGATCCGTCAGCTCATCAGAGATCCAGAGGTCAGAAACTCAATGAAGGAAATGGAACTGGAAGCGTGGAAGGCATTTGTTCTGGTGGTGAAGAACTTTCTAAGCAACAATAAGGTCAGAAACTATGCAGAACTTGTCAACAACATGCTGACTGCTTTCAGAAACCTGGGCTGCAACATGAGCGTCAAGATGCACTACCTATTTTCACATATGGACCGGTTTCCTGAGAACCTGGGTTCAATGAGTGACGAGCAGGGGGAGAGATTCCATCAGGACATGAAAGAGATGGAGACCAGGTATCAGGGTCGCTGGGACGCAGTCATGATGGCTGACTACTGTTGGACTCTGAAGAGAGACCTCCCTGCCGCTGAGCATTCCAGGAGTTCCAGGAAACGGAAGTTCAAGCCCTGAAGTTTGAAAAATGGTGAAGCAACGTGCAATTTATGTATTCTTACCTTTATCAATGCCCAGCATTCAGTTTACAGTAATCGATGTTTCTATCAGGTTTGTTTGAAATCAAACCTTTATTAGGCATTATGCAAATAAAACCATAAAAGAGAAAATAACATATAAAAGCCTTGAAATATATATAAAAAAGGCAGCAGTTGGCTACATACATATATATATATATACATATAGAATCAGTGGTTTTCCTTGTTAACCTGCTCCT